TACGTACGTACGTACGTACCGTACCGTACCGTACCGTACCGTTACCGTACCGTTACCGTTACCGTACCGTACCGTACCGTACCGTACGTACGTACGTACGTACGTACGTACGTACGTACGTACGTACGTACGTACGTACGTACTACTACTACTACTACTACTACTACTACTACTACTACTACTCTCTCTCTCTCTCTCTCTCTCTCTCTCTCTCTCTCTCTCTCTCTCTCTCTCTCTCTCTCTCTCAAACACAAGGGAAGAATTGGAGAAATCATCAAAAAATATCAAACAATTTCAGGTAGTGTTCAACAAAGTATACCAAAGGTTGTAGGAATCTCAACGTCGAGCTCAGACATGAAACTTGACTGTCAAGTTCAAAGTGATGGGATGTACAAATGTTGGTGAGTTTTATCTCACAATGATCGCAGAACTGGAAGAAACAGAAAACCCATCAGCCTTCCATGACCAGTAATAGCTCACCCCATAAGCAGCAAACCACACAAAAAGGGGATGGACAAAAAGACAATGATGGGTACAATGAAAAAATATAATATACATCCCTCACCACAAGAAAAACTCATCATAGAAAACTAAAGGGTAAATAAGAAAGTTAAATTGTCTGCAGTACAGATCCCCTATTTACCAATAAAAGAAAGGAAAAAAGAAAATGGCGAATACTTCCATTCCAAAGAGTCATTATTATGCGACCAGGTAGAAATGTTGAAAAGAAGGAGCCCATATTGGACATGAGCTTGGCAACCCAACAATGGAGAAAATGATATATCAACCCCCTGACCCTAGTTGCATGAAGTCAGAGAAAATCGATTTTCAAGAGGATCAGACTGACAGCCAAGAACTACGATCATATATGCAAATACATGTCACAAAATTCTGCTTCCCAAAGCATGGGGAATCCCATACCCCATATATTCGAATCCAACAACCATACCCATGTCCATCCAGGCCACATAGCTATCTATTGATGATAGACATTCAATACGATTGTTTCTAGCAAATCACCATGCTTCTACAAAGGCCACCCCAAGGCAGAACAGATTCTCTTTTGAACTAGAATAAGTATTGGGCTTTAAAAGACCACCAACGTGGCAACAGCCAGGACCGAACTTCAAGACCAAAAATAAATGATATCTATCTAACATTAAAGTTAATAGATGGCTTTCTGTCCAAGCCAATTAGCCCCAATCAATACATGAAGAACTGTTAAACACTGAATAGAAAGCTACTGAAGTAGCATTAGGCAAAAACACATCACGAATTGCATTAAAAGAAGTAGAGGAATTAACAATCATGGTCCAATTGCTGCGTCTGAAGATCATGCTAGGAATATATTGTTCGTGGCACAAACTAACGAATCCACGACCAATAAATATCATTCATGCACAACATATTGAATAATAACCAATGAGCAAGTATGCTATGCTTCCTTGGGAGCATACTGCACACACTTCCTCTTCCTTGAGAGTATACTTCACACATTTCCTCCCTTGGGCGAAATGGCTAATGTGGATGAATTTTTCAATCTAAATTTTGTGATCCACCCAAGAATCAACAGATAATTAATTTCAAACAAAAGAATATGGATTTTGATTTCATCAGCACTTAGATCTCACCTTACAAAAATTGGATAGGCTCTGTTCAATCTTGGGACGTTATTTCCTCTTTACAGGAAAATACAGAGTGACAGAGTGAGACTTTGTATTTTTTAGACTTTGTATTTACAGTGGATATCTAGGAATTATGATTCAATCCTATCCGAAGTATTGTACGGCTGTACTCAACATTATAATGCATCGTCGATTGATTCTAGCAAGTAGCAACTGCTGTTATGACTATTAGTAGAGGAAAAAAAAAAGAAAAAGGAATGCTTATAAAGAAATAGTTTGGGAATTTGTCAAGACAAAAATAAAGCAGTGATGAGAGAAAGGAGAATCAAACAATGACACAAAAATCTGATTAGATGACCGTGAAACTCTATGATGCTTGCCAAACTGACAACCACATGTTACAAAACAACATTTTTCAGATCTAGAGCTTGGCGTGAACTTTATCAGGTAAGAATAAAGCAATTAAAGCAATAGATTATGAGAAGTAACCTACAACTATATTAGATTGTGGAGGATGTAAACCTCAATTATGATGACCAAGTTGACTAATCCGTGTTTAGAACACCGATGACCCAGGCTAGGACTTGCCCAGGTCAATCAAACCCTGAGGGGTGCCAGGTCCAGATGAGAAAAGGCGAAACCCAGGTGAGTCTAACTGAGTCTCAAGTCTCAACCCCTCCTTTGTATTTTACCCAAAGATTGAGTTGAGACGGAGGTCAATGGATGACTTGGGCTTGAGGCCTGGAAAATCCAAGACCAAGTCCTGGTTTTGAAACAGTTTGACTCAAGGGCAACATGAAATAATAATATCTTCAGCCCTAGAGCCTTGTTTGAAATTTACGACACAATAGCAAAGGAAAAGAAAAGTAAATAAAAATTTCACATTTGAAGCAGATTTTAATGGATCGAAACTAGAATGACGGGGATATTGATAAATCCACAATGAACAAAAAGAATTAATGAGTTTCACAATGTGGAACTCCATTTTTACATTAACATCATGGCACACCTCTTGCCTATCCTTGTGAATTTTTAGTTCACTTCAGGATGACGATTGTTCAAACTTCTATTGTAGTAGATCTTTTAGTCCCTTTGTCTTTTTTTAATCTCTCAGTCCCAGCAAATTTTGAAAAGACCAACCAATTAATAGAAAATTTATAAATCCATGACGATAGATAAATACCATACAACAGATATATTGAAAAATGAATTTTAAACCAGAAAATGGAATTACTTATTAAATTTCCATTTCTTTTAAAAATAAAGATAAAGAGACTCAGTCCCATACAGACCATGTAGGATCCCAATCACCACAAGATCCCAATCACCGCAGTCCCATAAACATCAGTGGTTATAGGCCTTACCTCTGCTAGACGGACATCATGAACTTCGGAACAAAGCATCAAGAGCCAGTAGGGATCATCACCACAAAGAGACTGCATGATGGTAGCCCAAGGTTCTACATGTATATGTAGGGACTGGGTCTCAGGAACATTGTGCTCATAAAGAAAATGTTCGTGAAGAAAATCAATTAGAAAGAAGGACAAATCAGTTAGAAGGATATAACTAACCAAAATCAGTTAGAAAGAATGATATATCTAACAAAACATAAATACCATGTCAACTAATACTAATTGAAAAAAAAAATTACTTTTCTAGTTTCTTCTCTGATTTACAGTCCTGTTCATTGCTACTTACTAAAAATTCGTTTACAGTTATTTAGACAGGTAGCATCTGATTTGCTTTCCACATTCACATCTTTAATAATTTTTTATTCTCTATCATTTCTTATATAATTCATTGAATGAGAAGTTTCTGATGATGCAGCATCAAACTCAATTTCCTACTTGACCATTAATGTTAAACCTTCACAGACGTACATGCGCATAGCACACACAGAAGCACACACGCGCAAACCCACACAGACGCATGCCATACCCATGGACACTTCAGTACAAAAACCCCTTATGTTTCAAGAATGTCAAAGTAGTTTTACAAAGTATTATGACATTTGTCAAACAAACACTCCCACTGGTTCTGGAAATTATAATGCATAAAAAAATAGCCACAATATTTTGTTGATTAATATTCTAGAATCTATAGCACAGAGGGATTACAGCATTTAAAATTGAAAATTCTTTTTCTTTTTCTTTTTCTGCATTGTTCTTATTCTGAATATTCTTCTTCTTTCTCTGAAAAAAACAAATCGCTGAAACATGTAAAGAACTCCATCAAGCAAAAGCCAGCAGCCCTAGATTTCATGCAGAAATCATTTTTAACAGCAACCATATCAACAATAAAACAGAAATACCGGGCTGATTGTAAACCACCATGATTAACAGCAATTCAAAATGTATATAAACAAATAAAACCACACGTATCTTTGGTCAATCCAATCAAAATCCTGCAAAAAGAAACACAAGTACATTTCTAAAATGAAAGGACGTCAAAAAACAAAAGAATGAGTATGCAAGAATTTATCCAAAGAGGGGTAAAGACAATAGATACATAGATTCATAGATAAATAGATAGATAGATAGAGAGATAGAGAGAGAGAGAAAGAGAAAGAGAGAGAGAGAGAGAGAGAGAAAGAGAGAGGAAAAAGAAAATAGAGAATAAAAATAAAAACCTGTTCTGGAAAACTCATGAGTCCACTCGGGACTCAGCTTAGTCATTGGGCTCAGAGTCCTGCAGAGCACAGACACCCCTGCACTTAAGTAACGGGGGTTTTGTATTACTCCTCCGAGTCACATTATAGTAACTTGGGCAAGTTGTAAGAGACTTTAGCAAGTCTATGCCAAACTCACTAAGTATGTCAGGACTCACCAAGTCGATGTACCTTCCAATTTACAAGGAAGAAAACCAAAATCCCTTTTTCGCTCAGGAGAACGTTAACTTTAATAAAATAAAATGTACAAGTACAAAAAATGATCTCCACCACAGGGGAGTAATATACAAAATTCACCCAAAGGGTGAAAGGGTACACAAAATTATACATCCAGGGCATCCAAAAGAGTCAAGGTGAAAACTGAGTGAGTCCCAGAATCAGATGGGTCCACCAACACCAGGACTTGGTGCACCTTCATTAACAAGGGTATCGGCGAGGGAATTGGCCTCACGCCAGGCGAGAGGCCAAAAAATTTTGAATGGCTTGCATATCTCACAAATCTTGCCGAAGATATAGGCAAGTCTCCAGGGGCGGGTTGCCTTTCCTGGCCCAAGAAATAAAGCTTTTAGAATCCCCTATGACCAAGGGGGCACTACATCAGCTGGGGTTGAGAGCCCTTAATCCCTCAAATTTCTACATGAGTTTATGATGGTCTACAGGAGTTTATGATGATATGCCCCTTAAATTGATCAGATGTTAGAAGAAAAACCTCAAATTTCTTGGATTCCACAGATTGAAATTCTCAAACAGATTCAAACTTGCAATTCCTTTTTTTGAAAATGCCAAAAACTTGTGATTTTTTTGTAACTCTAGAGTGATCTTGGTTGAAATTTTATACCTAAGGCTATTTTTAGTTCATCAAATTATAGGTTTATGTCTCACAAAAAACCACTCAAAATATCAAATTTGCTAGATTCAAAACACGGTTTACCAGAAATATTTGATCATTTTTTAAAAATTGAAACACAGTGTAAGCCAATAACATCATTTTCTTTTATTGTTTTCCATTTTGCATATATATTTATCGAAACCTTTTTTTCCTGATTTTCCCAATCTTTCAGGATTTTTAAGGGCAACTCATCCAGCTTGGAAAAAACTCCATGGCTTGGTAAGGACTCACCAAGCTAACTCACTCTGAGTGAGTCCAAGTTTTCTCACACTAATAAAAACAAAGGTGATATGGTGAAATACATGATTGGGAACAGTAAACTATATCAACACTAGCAGATGATTCTTTTTTTTCTTTTTTCTCTATTTGTGTTTTCTGAGGCAAACACTACCATATGAACGCATCACTATGCATAAGAAACCACTCCATCTAACTTAACTAACAGTGATAAAAAATGCATCCACGTTTCTTTTTATACTAATGGAAAGGCATACAACCAGAGCATTAATGACGAAAATAAACAATTAAGTATGGGCCATTGGATATCCTGGAAATGGCAAAACCCACAGTACCAAGGGAACATTTATGACCACAAAACACACTTACAGTTGAACAATACTAACCAAGCGTTAGATTGTTTGTGCATCACAATAAGCAGGCCAGGGCATGCCAGGCCAAACCAAAGGCAAAGAGCCCTAAATGTGTGACTTGGTTTTAGAAATATGTTTTTCTATTTGCAGATGGATCTATTTAAAAACCTATAGTGAAACTCATGATCTTTTGTACATTCTTATATTCCAATAATGGCCAGGCCACTTGTCGCATTACAATCTTATATTCCAATATTGGCAATAACAAATTTGAAGAAACCATTTAACAGGGAGAAGTTCACTTCTGCAAAACAATAATTACCCAAGGCATGCGGTTGGCACATGACTTGGCTATTTCTAGGAGTACAAAGTAGAACCTCCAATTGAGAAGCTTGGGAATTTTAGAAGCATCCAGAATCACAGGACCATTGATGAAGAATAACTTGAAATCACAAAATGCAGTAAAGCATAGCAAACACAACCATAACGAAAACATCAGATATTGGCATGGAAAACAATGGAAAAACCATGAATAAAAGGACTATAACTTTTATAGGCCAACAATACATTAGAATCCATTAAAATTAACCTATGAAGTTTCTAAAGCAATGTCTGCATAAGTCACCAACGACTGTAAAAATAATGTGAAAAATGTAGAACCTTTAAACCTTCCTGAATGGAAGGTCTAAGTAAGAATAATTGACCAGCACTGACAAAAGCAGAAGAGCTACTTAGGTAACTCCAAAACAACTTATGCAAAGATAACAACCACGAGAATCAGCTTTGATCCATCCGTTGGCAACATAAAGATCAGTTTATGTATCAACAAACTAATGGACGCGGGACATACCTAAGCCAGGAAAGACGAGAAAAGAAATAAAGAAAGAAGAGAGCTAGACAGAGAGAGACAAGAACCTAGCAAAATATAAAATACAAATCGACATAGCGAGCACATAAAACATGAGAGACGAAATTCATATGAACAAAGAGCCCTAAGAAAATAACCAAGCTCCAAAAAACGTATAAACAATGCCAGAGCATTGAACAATACGGCTAAAACCCTTCAGAGAAACTACCCTTCAAGAGAATATAAGGCATAATATTCATGCGTCCCCCCTTATCCTATTATTAAACCTAGATTGCTTTAATTCGAGACAAAAATAAAACATATTCTACCTAGGGTTCCCATGGGAAGACACAGCATCGACACTATATATCATTAAAACAACATCCTAAGTGGTCAACATAGATACATCATGAAATTTCATTCCATACATTTATTCTATAATCAGGTCCATTAAATGATCATAAGAAAAGATTTACAGAAGTCAGCATAGATGAATTTTTTAACAAAGAACACATAAATTAAAAACAGAACACGTGAAATTCACCTTAAAAAGATTAGAGAAGGGACAAGAAGATGCAGAAATCAAGATCACTGGTTGTGAAAAAGATCAGCCTCTCTTTCTCCCTCTCTATCTCTAAATTGCAGAAAAGAAAAAGATAAGGGCTTCGAAAACGAGTGGCCTTCCCTTCACATGGGTTTGTGAGTGCCTTTATGCCCCCAAATCCAAGCTAACCACACCGCAACTTAACCATAGTCAGTTCTAACCACAATTTCCGAATTTCCATTTCCGCCCTTATCTTTTCCTTAAATTACATAAACGCGCCCACCCTCGAAACTGGAGATAACATTAGACTACCCAGTCTATGTGTCGACCGACATACCTATCTAACCAAAGTCCTCTCTCTTTAAAATCTATGGAGGTGGATTTTTGAATCGAAAATTTAGGGAATTAAAAATCTCAATAGTGACAATTAGGCATTAAAAAATAAAATAAAATAAAATTATACGTATATATATAAAAATAAAAATAAAAAGTCTCTAATAGAGTTTTAACACCATCCATTTTAAATTTTGGTGAGTTACCATTTTAAAAATCCATCTATGGATGTTATATGTGTTAGGGGACGCTATTATAGAAGTGCGTCAACATATAGAGATAGGATATGTATATTCACATTTTACTATTTCATAGGACATTTTGTTGTAAAGGAGGGTGAATTAGGGGCAGAAAAGTTTATGAATTCCTTGTTGTTTATAGGCACGCATGAGCGATTTCTTGAAGCAATTTGCCGCTTTGTATAATATAATTGGTATGCATAAATTGAGCAAATTTGTCCTTTGAATATAGGAAAACAAAAAGGAGTTAAATTCGCTTCTAGGTTTTATGCATACAAACCAAAAGCCTAAAAGCCTACTATATGCATCGGAGTAGATAGAGTGAGAAAATCGGGTACAAAGAGAGAGCAAAAGGTTATCTCAAAGTGGGAAAAACGAACCCCATTATTGAAGTTTTGATGGCCTTTAGAAGTGACTGTTCATTATGGCATGTGACTGGTGGGAACCTAGAGGTGGCAACGAGTTGCGTATGGGTCGGGTCTGGTCGGATCCAAACCCAAACCCAAATAGATTTGGGCCTAGATTTTGGACCAGGACCCGACTCTACAGGTCTAAAAATTGGACCCATACCCATACCCGTCAGGTCTCGGGTCTACCCCGTCGGGTCTCGGGTCTACCCCATCGGGTCTCAAGTCCATTGTCAACCTCACTATAAGCTTCTTCGTTTTGTTTGCCTTTTTTTTTACTATCTTATGCTCATGTTATTGGTAATAAGGTCACGATCACCCGCTGTTAGATTTCAAGCCGTGAAATTTGTCGTTTAATAGTTAAAGATGACTACTAGTTCTAATTATATATGATCCTTAATACACCCAAATGAATAAGGCTTAAAGTAAAGTATTTTATCTCTAATAGTTTATGGGTACAGGTTTGGATCCAGTTGGACTCGGACCCATCTAGTCTTCAGGTCCAAGTTTTGGACCCGAACCCAACCCGTCGGGTCCAAATACTAAACCCATACTGACTCATGTCGAGTATACCCGGCTAGTCCCGAGTTGCGTCTGGGTCCACTGACACTGAAGAATTTGAGAGAGAGAGAGAGAGAGTAACTCTTTGAGAAAATAATTGTGCCCCACACAATTACTTGTGTTGGTTCTTTCATTGTATATATAATGGTAATACAATGGTGCAATATACACTTTCCTATTTTATTACATGCAATATATACTTTCCTATTTTATTACATGCAATATACACTTTCCTATCTTGTTACATTCTCCTCTCTAAAGGAAAGAGCAATATATTTTCCTATCTAATTTAAATTGTGTTTTTATTACTCCCCCTCAAACACGACTGAGAAACCATTTGAAGCTCGAGTTGGAAGCAAAGATCTTGAAAAACATCTCGTAGCAAAAGGCTTGGTGAAAATATCAGCTATTTAATTGCAGAAGGAAACAAATCGACTGATAAATAAACCAAGAGCAACATTTTCACATA